GATTTTTTTTATCCTCGCTTCTAATATTACTTAAAACTACTTTTTATTTAAACTAAATAAATCTATTAAATAAATTTACTAAATAAACTTATTAATATATAAACTACTACTTCCCCCCGATAGAGCAATTTACTAGGGCCGTACTATATATTACGTATTAGGGAAAACTAGGTATATTGCGCTCTATACCTAACTACTAATTAAAATATTAATTAACTAACTCGACCGTTATTTTTTTTTTATTAATTCCTAACCTTCCCCTACGTAACTATTTAAAAAGCGAGCTATACTTACTCTAACGTATATAAAACCTCTTAGTACTAGCCCGCATAAGTAGCTAGATCCTATATTATATACTCTTTTTTATTAAGGGTTAGAGGGCCCCTTATATATTCTTTTATATCTATAATATAGCCTATATTAAAAAAATTTCTAGCTTTATAAAATATAATTTTTAAATTAATATTAATATACTAAATCTTAATATTTATATTAGCCTGGCTATTTATAGCGTTTATACTATTACTTAGTTAAATTCTATATTATTAAAAAGTATTATACTATTTTTTAAGCGTATTTATATTAGTTACGATAGCTAGGGCGTCGAGGGGGCCTAATCTATCGAGCCCTAGAGGGGGGGACCTATTAAAGGGCATTTTTAGAGAGTCCTAGCCCGCTAGTTACTAACTATATATTAAAAAAGTAGTAGTTTATATATTAATAAGTTCGTTTAATAAGTTCGTTTAATAAGTTATTTAGTAAATTTATTTAGTTTAAATAGAGAGTAGCTTTAAGTAATATTAAAAATAATAAAGATAAAAAAAATCTTTACGAGCTTTAGTATAAAGAATAGCTAGATATTAGCCCTTTTAGCCCTTTTTTTAAAAACTTCTACGTTATTATTAAAGTTTAGAACCTCTATAGTTAAGGGCCGCTTTTAACTTTTATAGCCGACTTTTATTATCGACTTTTTTAGTTAGCGCTACTATAAAATAGCTTACTTATCCTAAATTATATAATAGTTTTCGTATTAAAATTACTATATTATATTAAGCACATACTTAGGGTATATTATATATATTATATAGTTAAAAAGTATACTGTATTATATAATTTCCTTTAAAAGCGTGATCCTATTAAGGTCGATTTTTTATATTTATAAAGCCGGAAAAAAACCACTATATAAACTACTACTTAGATAGCTAGTTAAATAACTAGTTAAGAGGTTAGCTAGTTAAAATACTACCTCGATAAGAACCTACTTTCTTAGTATATAGTTAGTAATTAGTAAGCTTATTTAAAGATACTTATTAATAAGTTTACCCCTCTTAGGCTAGGCGCCCTTAGTTAGCTTAACGCTATAGTTATTATAGCTAATATAAGTATACTTAAGGATTAATAAAGTACTTTTTAATAATATAAAATTTAGCTAAGTAATAATACGAACGCTATAAATAGTTAAGCTAATATAAATATTAAAATTTAGTATATTAATACTAGTTTAAAAATTATATTTTATAAAACTAAAAATCCCTCTAATATAGGCTATATTATAAATATAAAAAAATATATAAAGGGCTCCTTAATTTTTAATAAAAAGGAGTATATAATATAAGATCTAATTACTTATATAAGCTAGTATTAAGAGGTCTTATATACGTTAGAGTAAGTATAGCTCGCTCTTTAGACGGGCGGTAAAAGGTCGGGAGTTTTAATTAGTAATTAAGTATAGAGCGTAATATACTTAGTTTTCCCTAATACGTAATATATAGTATAGCCCCGGTAGACTACTCCGTCGGAGGGAAGCTCTATTTTTATATAATTTATTAGTTTTTAATAGTAGGTCCTTTTATAGGGGTAATTAATAAATAAGTTAAGAGTTACTTTATTCTATTTAAGGGAATTTAAATAACTTATTAATATTATAAATATTATAGAGGTTTATTTACGACTTTTATTATATACTATCTTTTTATATAAAAGGTTATTAAAAATCTTAGTATAATATCTTATATTAAAGATTATTTCTCTTTTTTATTCTAATTTAATAATTTTAATAAGCTCTTAGTTAAATTAATTTAGGGCAAAGCGACGTATAGTTATATAAAAAAGGTTTTTAAAGCGAGGGTCCCTTAGACTTTAAATAGCTTAAGCTATATTATTTAATAATAAACTAAAAAAAAAGTTTTTAATTTAAATTAATAAGCTAACGCTAGAGTTCGCCCTATTTATAACTATATTAAATTTCTTTTTTATAATTATAAGCGAATTAGAATCGCTTAGTACGTACTTTTACTTAAGAACCTAAATTATAGTATAAGAAGAGTAATTTAAAAAATTAATAAGCTCCTCTTTTATATTTTCTAAGATTTTTTAAATAATTATAAAAGAGATTTAGTAATTTATTAATTTATATAATCTCTTTTTTTATAAATAAGAGATCGTTTTAAATACGGTTTACTAAATAAAAGAGGCGTATTCTTTAATAAAACGTACCTAATTTATTATTATAATCTTTAGTTTTATTAAAATAACTAGTTATTTAATTTAAGTATTTTTAATCGAGGGTTTAATTATAGTCTTATTTTTTAACTATTTAGTTTACTATTAAATAAACTCCTTAAGTTTTTATTAATATTTAATTGAGGCTATTTTATATATTTAATTTTAAGTAATATTTCGTATTTTAATATACTTTTTAATTAAAAAAATAGACTTAATAAAGAGTAATAGATTTGATAAAAAAATAAGGTTATTGAAGTTTAATAAGTCCTAGACGTTTTTTAACTAGGCCTTAATTCGTAAAGCAAAGTACTATTTAAACTAATTTTATTAATAATTAAGCTTTTACTTAGGAATATTAATAGTTTTTTTTAAAAAAATATTAGTTTATTTAAGAATAAAGTTAATAAACGTAATAAAAGTTAAATAGTATTATAAAAGAAATATAATAAACTATAGTCCTTAAGAAATAAGTTTTTAATAAAAATATAGGGGTCTAAATTAGAGCTAGGTTTATAATTATTATAAAGTTATTATAGGGGTATTAACGTATATAAAAAGAATAGTTATTTATTAAAAATAAGAAATAGGTATAAAGCTCGTTTTAATATAAAAAGTATAAGTAAAGTAGGCCTTAGTAATTATATAACCGAGGTTACGTAACGTGTGGTAAGGCTATGGATGGTTAAAGCCATTACGACACCTCTCTTGGATAGATAATACCCATCTTAAAAGCAAATCTCACGTGTAGTGAACGCCGCTTCCAGACATAACATGAGAGGAAATATGTAATTGAGACACGATGGGTCTGTTCGTCTCATCTCTCGCAAGTCTTACGCTCTTATCTAGACTCGTACTAGCTCGTCTATCACTATAGGTTCCTCGTTAACTTCGGCTCCTATTACTGGCTTCATGACCACCATGACATCGACCGGTACGCAGACGGGACTGACAATAATAATTCCTACCAACCCGGCTGGCACAACTAGCGTGATCACTTTTGTGACACCATCATCCTCTTCCACCTCTACTTCAACTTCGTCTTCGTCCTCCACTAGTCCGACCGCAAGCTGTACCCCTGGGCTACTCTGGGCCTACTATGGTCTTGCGCAAGCTCCAACAGAGACTGCTAGTAGCTCCGGAAATATCCCTTTTCACGGTAACGGCGCTGATGGTCAAGCAAACTGGAAAATGACTTATTTCAACATCAACACCGTGCTCTCTGGACAGAATCCTGATAACACGGGTCGGACAACGACCATTGGTCTTGCGCAGCTCTGCGCCACCACGACTCGGACCGTCTACGGAACCACAACGAGCGGGCAGTCCCAGTTCATGATTGTTCAACACATCGGATACTTCCATCCGGCAACTTCTGGCACGTATACTTTCAGCTTCAGTAATGTCGATGATGGTGTCTATCTTTGGCTAGGCTATAACGCCAAGACTGGTTTCGCCAATGCCAATGCCAACAAAAATGTCGACTACTACGTTACCAATAGCGCCGGCACCTACACGTTCACTACGACGGCCGGCCAATACTATCCAATTCGGCTATTATTTGTCAATGCACAGCAGTGCGGCAGCTTCACTTTCTCACTCACTGACCCGGCCGGAGGTGTGGTTGTCTCGAACTCTCAAGCCGTAGTTGGCGATCAACTCGTAGCTAGTTGCCCCAACGACTCGAACGCAGCGCCTTTTGGTTTCTAGATTGTCTTTGTTATTCTCCATTGTAGTCTTTAAACTTGATTCGATTGAAAGCCGTTGCTGCAAGTAGATTGCTGATTGAACCTCTCAAGGAAACGTGCCTCTTCGGTCTGCAGTTCGTGGATACTACCAAAGCTCCCTGGGTGATACCGAGAATGTAACATCGGGCGACGAGACCCTAATACAGAATACAACTGCTCATTGACTTCGCTCTTTATGCTAATTTTCCCGTCAAAGTGGAAGTGTAAAGCTGTAGTGTACACGACAAGAACATATTGATCACGGAGTATGATGTGAGGAATCAAAGGCTGAAATTTTTAACCTGTTCGCTAATTTGTTTCGGCATCGGGGAATGAGCCATTCGAATTGAGGTACCGATTTTGTCGAAAATGAGTCTCTGCCAAGGCTTCCTCGGCTTCGTTTGCGAGGCGCACTTCGACCAGGTCTCACGCCCCCGGAAATCCGGGAGAGATCTCGGTGTCGCCCGTGCCGATCATGGAGGATGGCCACGCAACGCAGCGCGCCGCGTCTTATCACCCCGCGTTTGTGGGGTTAAGCATGGATCGGGCGTCAGCCGGGGAAGATTGCGCCGGTGCTGTGTATGCACACTCTTTTGGGGTGGTATTGACGATGTACCATCAGATTCCTAATGTTGCCCAAAGGTTGGGTGGGAGACCCTCATATCATCAGATTGATATCTATAAGACTCTTCGTTATGTTCATATTTCAACTTTTGAGGCAATTCTTGGCATCGCACCTCTATCAAAGTTCTTCGGTCTCAAACAGTCATCATGCATCTTGAGGCCGCTTTCCTCTTGCCTTTATTGTCATGGAGCGTGACAGCTTCACCTTTTGAGAAGCTGCATGGCCTGAATGATACGTCGTTCGCTCATCCAGGCTCTCTTCACTCCGCGAAAGATTTCGCAAGAATCAAAAACCATGTTCAAGCCCAGGATCAACCCTGGTACCGAGCCTGGCAGCATCTAGAAGCCGGAAAATTGGCTCAGACCTCGTGGAAGCCAACGCCGCAGTCGGTTCTTGTCCGTGGCACAAACGCCACCTTTGCGCCCACCAACAACTACGGCTATGCCTATCGCGATGCTCACTCAGCGTACCAGTTGACCATTCGATGGCTGGTTGGAGGTAACACTTCCTACGCAGACCACGCAGCCAAGATCCTCGACGGCTGGAGCTCTACCCTTGTCGATATCAACGGCACTGAAGACAAATATCTCGCGGCAGGGCTCTACGGATACCAGTTTGCCAACGCCGCCGAGCTCCTTCGTGGATACTCCGGCTGGCCCAAGCAGAACCAGACGGCCTTTGGCAAAATGTTGAACGGCGTCTTTGCGGTGTACAACCACGACTTCCTCGAGCACCACTACAACAAACCGGATTTCTACTACGCCAACTGGGACTTGTGCAACATTGCCTCGTTGATGGCGATTGGTATTTTCAACGACAACAGAACCATGTACAATTACGCGGTCAACTACTTCAAGAACGGGATTCCGGGCCAGCCCGAGGTTGTGGCTAATGGTGCCCTGCCCTATTTCTCAATCGCCAACTTCACGGAGCAGGGTAGCGGAAAGACTCTGATGCAGATCCAGGAGTCTGGCCGTGACCAGGGGCATGCTTTACTCTGCATCGCTCTCATCGGAGTTATCGGGCAACAAGGTTGGAACCAGGGAATTGATCTCTTCGGCACCTTTGGCCGCCAGATCCTGAACGCGTGAGTTCTCTTTCTGTCCCACTCCAGATTTTCTGGCAGGTCGCTAATTGAAGCTAGCGCCGAGTATGTTGCCAAGTACAATACCAACCACACTGTTCCTTACACGCCTTATCGTAGCTGGGAAGGTGTGCTGGAGGTCGTGGCCCCAAAAGCTAGATTTGATGTACGACCTGGTTATGAAGCTCTCTACTCCCACTACGCGGAAGTCAAGGGTCTCAATGCCTCATGGTCAATGGAGTTCCGTGACTTTGTCAATGGCAACCTGACCGCCAACATTGAAGGCGGCGGTGGTGACTACAGTCCGAACTCGGGTGGGTATGATTCGTTCGGACATGGAACTTTGCTGTATCGCATCGATAGAGATAGTTAAGCTCCAGCCGAAAAGGGTGTGTTGCTAAGGTATTTGAGTCAACACCAAGTTGAAAGTCGATACAGGGTAAGTATGAGGCGAAGCAATATCTAAGAGGCATTCCTGTCGTACGTTCGTCTGCTCAGCTGCTGCAATCATGATTTCCCATTGCGTGCACCAAGTTGAGACAACTGGCTCGCGACTTCTCAATCCCAAATTTATACAATAACTATGTTTTCCCATACGTAACACTCATCCCATTTCCATTTTATTTGGCATCAACAACATCCATCGATAAGTCTTGCGTCCGCCTTAATCACGAAGCCTCATATAGTTCAAGCTTAAGGCTGTTTCATTTCGGAGGTCGAGCTTTCATTACACTAGAAGATGCTCTCCAAAGACTGCCTGTAAGGGAGTCGCAATATGGAGTTCTGGCGCATCAAGAGCTCACCCTGCCCCTCACCTCACCAAGGTGATTGCCGAACCAAGCCTCGGGGACTTCACCCCTTTACGAGCTAACAAGTATGGTGCAAACTTTTTGAATTACTAGTTTCAAGATGTTAAATTCAATATGGAAGCGTGCAGCATCTAATTTACAGTCGTTACTTCAAAGCTACTTTAGGCCTTTCCTCTTTGAAACTATGATTGATCAACAACGCCGACATATCCATCCTTTTATTGGAGAATCGTGGCCGTTCCATTTCCCAAACCCTCAATATCAGATTTGACTGGCAAGGACCTAGGGAGTGAAGGCAGACCAGACTGTTCAGCAGAGAGCTGACCCTCAAGGTCCAAAGGGGCACGTCTTGGTATCTCAGTCTCATTGACTGACGATCGAGAGAGGCCATCCGATCCTGTGCTTGTGACATATCCGGAGAGCGGCTGACGAGTTCTCTCATCAAACGCCCGGCTGTTGTTGGTCGCCGATGAGCCGGTGGCGTTGTGCTTGACGTCTCCCAAGGTCGATGTAATAGATCCAGAAGCATTGTTGAGTGCATTTTTGCCTGCTTGCGGCAAGTCTCTCGCCTTACCAGCAGTTGTGTTGGTCGCGTTGTAGACCGTCTGTTGCCCGCTCCGAGCAGCGTTGCCGAGGGTCGTGCTCGCATCGGAAGCAGCTTGTTGTGCCTTAGAGGACAGCTCCGCCGTCTTTGCTTGTCCATCACGAGCGAGCTCTGCGCCTCTCTGAGCGGTCACGTTTGCCGCATTTTGAGCCTGCACAGTGGCGTCGTGGGCGATCTGCCGTCCCTGAGGCGAGGCTGCGAGAGGAGCAACGAAGATGGCGGTCACTCCGACTACAGCTAACCAAAACGGAGAAAGGACTTTAATGAGTGCATACACAGATGCAAGTCCGACGAATGCCTGGAAATAGGTTAGTCACTGAATTCTATATCACATGGCGAATTAAGTTTGTATCTAGTGTTCACTTACGCCAAACGTTCTTCCCAGGTCTTCGCCATATATGATTCGTTGAGCTTCTACGACTGCGTATTGAATAAAGTCGTGAACATCTCTCAGAGTGTTGTTGAGTGTAGACTCCGGCACTCTTCTATACTGTCTCGGTCGAAGGCGTGTGGATAAGGAGTCGGAACTGAAGGACCGGCTGGCATACTCAGCAGCAGAGACGGCTAGAAAACTTAAGCATTGGCTCACATGAGTAAGTGTGTCCAGTCTTACCTCCAAGAGTAGTGACCGCCGCCTTCAATGCCAATTGAGTGAGGGGCAAGTAGTGTGCCCCAAACAAGATGCTCAAGGTACCGATGTATACACCAAGGGTGCGTAGAGGATCTTCCCACTAATGTTACAAGTTAGCAAAGCTCCAGTGCGGGCGTTACATGAGCAAGTACGTACGTTGATATACTTGTAGAAGCTGTCTTGCTGGGCTGGGTGAAGGGCTTTGTTAGCATCTTGTTTTAGTTGACGAACGAAGTTCACCCATTACCTAAAACCTGTCGCAATGGGCCTTCCTGCGTCGATCTTGGCGATTGTTCTTCGTTCAAGGCATTCTGAATTTTTGCTGCAACTAAGAAGTTGAGAGAACAATTGTTAGTCTTCTAATCCACATATATTGCTGCCGTGCCTACAAAACTTACTTTGCGATCTTCCTTGGTCAGTACGATGAGAGCTATCAGCCGTTCCGGGCAAGACAATAACAGTTGGGTCAGCCATGATTATGACGTCGACGCGTGGATGATGAGGAGTTGGCGAGTAAATGTGGATAAGATCACGAACTCCACTGAAACGGGGGATTTGGAGCCTTCACACTGATTTGATGAGAGAACAAGAACGACAAATATCCTATCAGACAGCGGGAGCAGACTTTATGACCAAAGCCAAACATCCAAAATCTCCTAGACCACCTGTGACACGAAGGCGCAATCCTGGTGTATTGCACCACCGGTATGCGGTTACACGATGTGAGGGGAAGGGATTACGAAACCCAACGTTCGTGACGTACATAGCTGGTCATGGCGTATCCGCTAAACTATGGTAGGATTCCTCAATGTCAAGAAACGGCTCGCATATCCGCTGGAATCGAGATGCAGGACGCCGCGCTGTCATTGCCTTGACCGAGGTGAGGGGGAAACCCTTTGATATTCAAAGACCAATTGACGTCGTTCGACAGTCATTTGGGGTCCGTTCCACTCGCAGCCCTGACGCGCTTTGATGACGAGGAGGCGGGGTGTCTCACCAAGACATCACGGCACTGGCATGCCGCTAGGCTGGCTAGAGCCAAGATGACATTCGAGGGACTACTTGCTTATTTGCTCACATACTTATACCAGACCATGTGCGTCGACTATCTACCTCAAGTCATTTCAGGGGCTGAAGCAGGTTTTAATAGGTCTATCCTTCTAGCTAGAATCAATAGAGCCACAGAGGTACTTTCACTTACACGAAAGGTTCACAGGCGTCCAATGCGCCCTGGTTATTTATGAAGGCGTTCGGTCTTACGGTCCGGCCCGCTTCCTAGTGAGTGAGGTTTCGATCTGCACAAGGTAGTTGGATGCAACCCTCCAAGCCCATGCATCAAAGGCATATCCTTTGATTGAGCAGCTGAATTTTTACCTACGATCTGCAGCCTCCCTATTCGCGTCAAAGTGGGAGGGGCGTCGCGTGACTCAGTACGATGCACCATAAATGAACAGTTTGAATAATACATTGGTCTGCGTGTTTCTGACGCTTCCTATGCTAACCGAAGGGTATATGCGCTCTATGAGAACCATATAGTATACAAATAAGACGACAGAAGAAAAGGAAATATTTTCTCTACATGACACGGCAGATTGCATCGCACATTAGATGACCAAAACAGCCAATGCCGCTACAGCCGCAAGCAAGCCGCCAGAGCTAAGCTTACCAGCGCCGGCCTGAACGGGGCCGGTGGTGGTTGCCGGGCAAGCGGCGCCAACACAGGGAGAGGTAGAACCGGTTCCGACAGGGATCACGGCGGTAGTCAGAGTGCCGTTATATCCATCCGACGGTGCAACGACCAAGGTCGTAGGAATGGGGGGAGGGCCGCCGGGGGTGCCTGACGCGCCGGGGGTCTCGAGGACGGGCTTCTCGGTAGAGACGGTGCTGCTGGAGGCGGGAACACCGACGGTAGGAACACCGGCGCCAGGGGCGGTGGAGGCACCGGAAGTGGCAGGAACAGGCTTCTCAGAGACGGCAGTACCACCGACGACGGGGTTAGTGACGGGCTTGGGGACCGTGGTGGAGATGAGTTCGCTGGTGACGATGGTGGAAGTCCTGGCCGGGCAGTTCGTAACCTCTGCGGCGCAGGAAGTGATTGTGACGAGGTTGGTCTTGTATGTGGTCAAGACGGTGGGGACGTCGGTGGTGAGGACGGGCTTCTGGCTTGCCTCAGTGGTAGGCTTGGGGACAACGGCACTGGTAATGATGGTAGAGGTTCTCGCGGGGCAGTTGGTTACTTCGGCAGCGCAGGAGGTGATGGTGACAACGTTAGTGAGGTAGGTGGTGATTTGCTCGGCGGGAGGCTGGCCGGTGACGACAGGCTTCGCGGAGCCGGCGGTGGTGGGAACGGCAGGGACACCGGGGATAGTAGTAGGAATGACCTTGCTTGTGACGACAGTGGAAGTCCTGACCGGGCAGTTTGTGACTTCTGCGGCGCAAGAGGTGATTGTGATGATGTTGGTCTCGTAGGTTGTGATGGCCGTGGTGATATCGGCGACAGGCTCCTGAGAGCTGACGGTGATGGGGGCATCGCCGCCGGCGGGCTTCGAGGGGATATAGCTCTCGACGGGGATGGCTACGGTCGTCGGGATGACTGCCTGGCTGGTGACGGTAGTCTGTCGGGCGGGGCAGTTGGTGACCTCAGGGGCGCAGGAGGTGATGGTGTGGACCTCGGTCTTGATGACGGTCAACTGGGTAGGGACGTCGACGACGGGGCAGACGGTGGTAGTGACAGCAACGACCTCGGTGACGACCTGAGGGGTCTCGCGGGCCGGGCAGTTGGTAACTTCGGCGGCACAAGAGGTGATGGTCTTGATGTTGGTAGCATAAACGGTGGAGGTCGCCAGACGGGTGGTCAAGCTCTCAACGGCGGCGGCAGAAGTCGCAACAGGCTTTTCGGAGGCCACAGCGGTGGACAGGGCGGAGCTGACGACAGCGGTCTGCGCGACAGAGGTAGAGGCAGCAACAGTCGAAGCGGCAACTGAGCTGGAGATGACTGAGGCAGTGGCGTTGCCATCCTTGAGGTTGTAGTACTTGATGGAGCTGATCTTGAAGAAAACATCGGCAAAGGCAGTCGGGTTGGCGGCAACGTACTCCTTGCAAGTCATACCAGTCTTCGCCTCACAAGTCTGGGTCCAGATACCATCGTTTCCGGCCACACCGCAGAAGTCAATGTTGGCCACGAGCTTCTGCTCCTCGAACAGCTTGTCAGCGGCGCAGGTGCTGGTGGTGAAGCTGGGCGTGCCCCAGGCATCGGGATTCGGATTGGCGCTCGCGATGTCGGCGGGAACGTTGGCGTGAGTAAAGCCCCAGACGCGGATGGCGGTGTT